GAGATATCCATTGGAGTAAAGGATATAGTACCTCGTGACACCTCGATAGATCGAGCTTCTCCTCTGCTGTGGAGCGCCTGGCAGGGAAGGGACTGCCTTCACCGGGCCATCGGGGAATTCTAGAGCAGGGAATGCGTCCAAGCGGTGGCTGCCCCAGAATGGAGGCGCTAGGAATGGCAATGCGTTCCAGCTCAGGTGGTCGTGAATGTTCGCGGTGGCGGCGCCGCTCATGGATTTTCCAAGGCGAGCAAGAGGGAGTGTGGGGAATGTTTTCCAGTGAAAGGCAAAGTTTTGGCTTCCAGGATTGTCATCACTGCAGTAGTGGTATGGCTGGTTTTCCAGTCGGTGCTGCTGTTAGAAGGGATCGTCACCAAGCGGTGGACCTGACGATTTACAGCAGAATTTTCTCAATGGTTCTAGAGTTGGCCGAACGCGTCCATCTGGCTTGGAGCAAAGAACTTTAGTTCATGAAGAGCAAGGAAGCCTCCGCAAAGATTAACAGTTCTAGTGCCAACTTTGAAGACTACGAAGAAAATCTGGAAGGAGAAGTGGCTGTGGAGCGAGATCTGCATGCGATTGAAGACGTGGAGAGAATAGAAGAGGAGGTATACCATCAGTTGGATGCTCCTTTCATTGTTCTCATTCCTTTTTTCTCCTTTTTCATCAGCTGGATGAGAAAAAAGAACAAGCCCGTGAACCGAGGCGTGAAAAGAGTCGAAAGGGAGAAGTTTGAGAATCACGAACGTGACGATGGGGAGCTTGAGCGCACTGGGCAGCCGCTATGCATTTACGAAACTTACGACGGAAACAGCGGCTGGGCTTCCCTCCATCAGAATTATCCTCTGTACCGTGGTCTTAGTCTGGTAAGCTCGTGTTGTACTTGAAGTTCTCATCACCTCAACTTTGATGCAGTCACCGAGGGGAAGGAGACCAAGGGTCGACGACATTGATGCTGCATCACGCCTTGTGCTTTTAAACGACACTTTCTACCGCGATAGCTTTTGCGATTTTGGTGGATTTCTCGCAATCGCTAACAGGATTGATCGAGTGCATAAGAACTCGTGGATTGGATTTCAACCCTCGCTAGCTGCTACCGAAAGAGTAAGAAATTGCGGATTGACGGTGGATACGATCTTAAATTTTTCTTTCCTCAGGTTGCTCTGTCGCCAAAAGCTGAAAACTCTCTAGCCGAGGCTGTGAAGGTCGGTATTCATGGCGATGCCGTTTATTTCTGGGCTGGCAAGTCGGAAGATTTCTGGACTTCTTGCGATGCAAGCAATGCTGGAAACTGCAGGTATGTGTCGAGACAAAGTTTGTCAAGGCCAACGGTGTTCATTCCAGGCGGATTTTCATGGAGACATTCAAGACAATGTTTGGCTTAAACAAAGACCAACTGGACCTTCCAACGATGCCATCTGGTGTCTGGTCTAGCAAGCATTGCTGGGCTATGTCTACCTCATCTTTCGTGAAGTTCGTCATGTTTTCCCGGTCTGTTGCAGTTTGTTGCACGTACTGCAACGAAATATCTTCTTAACTGGTTATCTTGTCCTAGGATGTTCGTGGACGCTCTCGATTCTCGGCTCTACATTGAACATCACGACCATGGAAACTGTCCTCTTGCAACCACACAACTGGAGGTATGGTACAACCTCGAATTCTTTTGGCTGTGAGTTCTAAATACTAAATCTCTTAGGCTCAACACTGCTACTGCCGTCTACTTGAGGTCCTGGTGAACGTTTGGGCGTATCACAGTGCCAGGAGACTCATCTACGTGGATCCTGAGACGGGTATAATGATGGAGCAGAACGCTCTCGAGAGCCGACGCGGGCAGATGAAAGTCAAGTGGTTCAGCTTTAGCGTGCTCAAGGGAATGGACGAAGACATGGCCGAGAAAGTTGACGACGAGCATCCTACGTACCGGTGGCTCTGGCCACACACGGGAGAAGTGTTCTGGCAGGGAATCTTGGAGAGGGAGAGGCAGGAGAGATACAACATGAAGTTGGAAAGGAAGCGCAGGAACAAGGAGAGGCTGGCTAGAATGCGCAGCCGCTACAAGCAGAAGTCTCTGGGCCGCTATGTGAAGCCACCACCGGAAGAGACGGAGCAAGATCAAGCTGTGAATACTGCTGCTCGGTGAACAGATTCTTGGGTGATTGTTTTGAGAGCCAGGAGAGCTCTTTCGACGCGAATTGTAGTGTACGACTATCAAGAGGTAAACTTTTTAGTGTACATATTCAGTGTCATTGCTACTAATGAGATTTTCCAGCGTGATGATTCTTGGAAGCTGCAAATGACCAAAGTTTTGTCTAGCGCTGAAGAATCCGATCAAAACACGCTTGAGTGAAGAACAGGCAAGAATATAGCTCCAGCAAAACCAGGACAGGGGGAATTGATCTATAATGGGTGTTGCTCGCAACTCTGGAGCAGTTCACCAGGAACTTGGGAAAGTTTTTGTTCCTGTGCGCGACTGTGGTTCTCCTGGGGGGATTCGTGAACGATCTGAGAAACTATGACTTCTACTACGTCACTCTCCTGCTCGTTAGCTATGGCATCAGGAGCTTCCGGTTTCTCAACTTAGCCGAAGGCTTAAGGAAACCAAAGGTGAATTCCCGCGTGGTTCTACTCGTCATCGCCCTCCTTCGCCTCCTCGTCCTCTTTCCCTTCGGCGTCTATATAGAAACCTTGCTGCTGCCTCTCTGGCTGCTGCTTCTCTTGCTGCTGCCTCTCTGGCTGCTG